CCAGTTCCTGCTGGACTCGGGCGTGCGGCATCTGGTGTCCCTAACGGAGCGCGGGCCCCCCCACAGCGACAGCTGTCCGGACCTCACGCTGCACCGATTTCGCATCCCAGACTTCTGCCCGCCGGCCCCCGACCAAATCGACCGCTTCGTGAAGATCGTGGACGAGGCCAACGGCCGGGGAGAGGTCAGTGGGGGCAGGGTCAGCGCAGGGAGGGCAGCGGTCTGCTGGGGACGAGGGCGGAGCCAGAGATAAGACCCGGGGGCCTGGAGACTCCCGCCGCCGTCAGACAAAAAGCCAGGCTGAGAGGGGCAGGGCCTAAATGGGAGGAGTGAAGAGAGCCCAGTGGTGTGAACTGCCCTGGAGGACAGAGAAGTCACCGGGAACCAGTCACTCTGGGGAGGGGAGAAGGAGACTGATGAGCCTCCTTGGGATACGCGGGGGTTGAAGCTAGCACCGTTTGCCCTTTTTTAGAACAGTGCTGTCCAAATATAATGGAGACACATCTGTAATTTTAAATGTTCTAGCATCCACATTATTAAAATATATTTTTATTTACTGGGTTAATATTACCAAAATTAATTTCATCTGCCATTTATTTATTTATATATTTATTCATTCATTTTGCAGTGCTGCAGATTGAACCCAGATACATTCTACCACTGAGCTGCATCTCCAATACTTTATATATATATATATATTTTATTTTTGAGATCAGATCTCACTAAGTTGCAAAAAAAAAAAAAATGTTCCCAGCTACTCAGGAGCCCTAAGGCAGGAGGATCTCAAGTTCAAGACCAGCCTTGGCAACTTAGTGAGACTCTGCCTCCATATAAATATTTGAAAGGCTGGGGATATAACTCAGGGATAGAGCACCCCTGGGTTCAATCCCCAATACTGCCAAAAAAAAAAAAAAAGCAAAATAAAGCCGGTGATATTATTTTTGTTAACATTGACCCAGTAAGTCAAAAATATTATCTCAAAATATAATCGATATAAAATAATTCATGATATTTCCATTCTTTTTCCTGCTGCATCTTCAAACCCTGATATATGTTTTATATCCCATCTCAATTTGGACTGGCCACATTTCAAGTATTCAGTAGCCACCCCGTGGCTGGTGGCTTCTGTGTTGGACAACATAGGCAGAGGGGTTTAGAGAAGCAGGTAAGGAGCCCATCTCTGGAACCAGCCACTTCAGAGCCACCCAGATACAAGGACACCCTTCCATAATAACTTTGATGTCTCTTCTTGCTCACAGAGGGTCTGAGACTTAGAGGGAGAAGGGTCCTGCTCAATGGGGGCAGGAAAGTATTAGGGAAGACATCAAGCACCACCCCCACAGAGCTCGCTCTTCACAGGCTGTGGCAGTGCACTGTGCCCTGGGATTTGGACGCACTGGCACCATGCTGGCCTGTTACCTGGTGAAGGAGCGAGGTTTGGCTGCGGGAGATGCCATCGCGGAAGTCCGGCGCCTGCGACCTGGCTCCATCGAGACCTATGAGCAAGAGAAAGCAGTCTTCCAGTTCTACCAGAGAACTAAATAAGGGGTCTCAGCACTCTTCTGCCAGGCCCCATTCTCCTGCCCTGTGTGGAAAATGGGGTCAGAGACGAAGGGAAGTGGTCTAAGTATTGAGCCCTCCGGCTTCCTTTGGCTCCCACTGAACTGAAATCTCCCTTCCTCAAGGCAGGTCCTGATTGACAGGGGGCTGGGGCCCCATTGAAAGGGGAAGAAGTGTGCTGCTTCCTTGAATAAATAACTTGTCAGAACCAGCTCACCCTGCATAGCACTTGACCAAGCGC